GACATTACATCATTAACCTTTATTTAACAAATCCCACTGAGATCACACTGCAAAAAGTACCCATCTAAAAATAAGTAAAAAAATACTAGATAATAGCCTGAATCATCTCAAATTAAGTGAAATAATCTGCCAGTGCAGTAAGATAATTGCACTTGGTAAGATTTCTTGAAATAAGTAAATATTTCTAGACTTTAGACAAGTGAGAAATGTCTTAAAACAAGTTGTAAAAAACTCATTACAAGTACTTTATGAAGTAAAATAAACTCAATACTAGTCTGTTAATGCTTCTTTCAGTTTTCATTTTTTCTCACTTTGACAGAAAATATCTTAAAACAAGGCCAACTTAACAAGATGGATCTTCTGGAATTAAGAACGATTAATAGATTTTCCATCTTAAAACAAGACAAAGCATTTACACTAAAATAAATCAGGCATATTGTGTACAAATGACCTTTATTTAAATTGTCTGTTCAAATTGTAACAATTATTTCAATCATCGTACACATGAATGTCAAGACAAATATGGTGAACTTATTTGGTGCTCTTATCACAAATAACCAACTAACATAAAGCTACAAAATCTTCATATTTCTTAAGCAACATCTGAGGCACTTGTTGATAGAAGAAATAAGTACTTCATATCAGATTATCAAAAAAAAAAAGTAAGAATTTAAATAACTTCACAGCCTTCAGTTCAAAACTTTCCAACCCAGACTTGAAAGTTATTTGCACCTAACTGAAATCTCTCTACTCAATAAAACTTTTCACTCTGTCATGTCAAGACAAATTCTCAAGATAAACTTATTTTGTGTTCCTCTCAACTATTAAACAACTAACCGGGATCCACATATAACGTTACAGACCCTCACATTTAAAAGTAGAACATTCGAGGCGCTGTGCATATATAAAAAATATTACATTTCAATGTAAATAAGTTTTCAGGTCAAAAATTCAAACACAGACCTGGAAGTTAATAACACATAAGTGGAAGAGCTCTACTTCTCAATAAAACGTTTCCACTCTGCCATGACTCTTTTGTATGAGCCTGTGGTGTCTTTCTCGTGGATATTGTCCTTCAACACTTCAGTGTGAATGACAGAGAGAAGGGTTGCCACACACTTTGGATAGGTGAGATGCATGGTGTAGTAGTGAGATGCATGGTGTAGTAGTATTCCATCAGATACAGCAAACCTTCACCAAGGTCTTCTTTGGCAAATGTGGTGAAGGGAGTGGTTCCAATGGCCAAAAGACAGCGAGACTCATCCAAGACCAAAACAGGGCTGTAGAAAGATCTCCTCTGGAGGTACACAGCTGGATCTTCGGTTGGCTAAATAACGAACAAAAAAAGGACAAAAACCTTTATTCAGGTTACAACAAATAAACTGAAACGCTACCAGATCAGTTCAAATGCTTAGGCACAAATATGTACTGTCCATACATCCGTGATGACAACAATAGAATAGATGTGTAACAGAGCATATTCATATCATTTTATGTTGTTTTTTTAAGTTGATATGTGTGTCAATTGAATACCCAACAACTTGTGCCACAGACACAAGAGTGAGTCCTAACACACTTTGGGAAATGACAGATACTGCACTTCTGATGGTTAAATATAAAATCATTTCCTATTTGGATTTTGATCATGTATACAATTCTGTTGAAGGTTTTTAAAATTGAGCTTAAGTCAGTTTATTTACTGTTATTTTTACAAGTGTTTTCTGTGGAAATTTACAAGTGTTTCAGTGCCATTTGTATTATGGGTGGCCACCCTATGTCATGTGACCCACACAATGCTGCAGATTTCCAAATATAGAATTAAAATTAAATTACAAATTAAGAAAGGCATGAAAATTTCTCGTTTTTTTAATTGAAAAAATAAATAAATAAATAAATACCAAACCGCGACTCTAATATATCCAACTGAACCGAATGGTGACATTTCTGTATCATTGCACACCCTATATATATAT